TCACCTGTCAGCAGTAAACAATCCTATTTCAGCACTTCAGACTCTACAGTGTTCATATGAGGCATCTACATTTTTTAGTCTATTTGAAATTCCCAGTATTATTATTATTATCAGATGTAGTATTATTAGAACCAACGGCAGAAATATTTTATTGGTAGCACATTCGCCTTACGGGTCACTGGTTTGGGCCTCAGCTGGGTCAGTTGGCATTTCTGTGTGAAGTGTGCATGTTTTCCCTGTGTTTGTGTGGGTTTCCTCAGGCTGCTCTGTTTTCCCCCATAGTCCAAAGACATGAGGTACAGGTGAACTGAGTAGGCTAAATTGTCTGTAGTGTATGTGTGTGAATGAGTGTATGAATGAGTGTGTATGGATGTTTCCTAGTGATGGGTTGGAGCTGGAAGGGCATTCGCTGCGTAAAACATATGCTGGATATGCTGGTTCATTCCGCTGTGGCGACCCCAGACTAATAAAGGGTGTGTGCGTGTATATATATATATATATAAAATAAATAAAATGAATTAAAAAAATGAATGATTTTCAGTTTTAATTATCTATTTTATTATAAATATTGTGGTTTTGAAAAGTTTGAAATTATAATAATATAACCATAGGCAAATTTATTATTATAACACTAATATAAAATTGTATAGTTGATTTAAGTTATTTATTTAAAGTTATTGTTTCATAAAAAGATTTTCAGTATGGCAATTTAACTTTAAATTTATTATTTTAAACTTTAAAATTATTATAAATATTACTATTATTAGGTCGAAGCAGTGGCGCAGTAGGTAGTGCTGTCGCCTCACAGCAAGAAGGTCGCTGGTTTGAGTCTCGGCTCAGTTGGCGTTTCTGTGTGGAGTTTGCATGTTCTCCCTGTGTTTGCGTGGGTTTCCTCTAGGTGCTCTGGTTTCCCCCACAGTCCAAAGACATGCGGTACAGGTAAATTGGGTAGGCTAAATTGTACGTAGTGTATGAGTGTGTGTGTGTGTGTGTGTGTGTGTGTGTGTGTGTGTGTGTGTGTGTGTGTGTGTGTGTGTGTGTGTGTGTGTGTGTGTGAGAATGTGTGTGTGGATGTTTCACAGAGATGGGTTGCTGCTGGAAGCATCCGCTGCGTAAAAACTTGCTGGATAAGTTGGCAGTTCATTCCGCTGTGGCGACCCCAGATTAATAAAGGGACTACCCGACAAAAAAATGAATGAATGAATGAATGAATTAATTAATTAATTACTATTATTAACCTTTTTAATAAAAAAAATAATCCTAACATTATTATTATTAGTGAAACAACATTTGTAATTCCAAAAAAGCAGGGTAAACAGGTTTCAAATCATTTAAATTATTATTTTATTGTGCTGCTATTATAATAATAATAATAAAGCAAACATGTTGAAATTTTTAAGTCTTCCACATTTGAATTAAAAAATGTTTTTTAGCAAATAAATTACTATTATATCTGTCATTATATTATTAATAAAGTATTATTAAATGAATGACTACTCTTACACCAATATTCACAATAAAAAAGTCAGCAAGTAATTATTCTGTAACACGTGTTCCATGCATCTACTATGGTAATAACAATTAATTATGGATGATCCCATGCAAAAATATTAAATACATGTAAGGAATTAATATTACACAGTAGTTAAATAAATAGTTACACAGTGACAAAGACACTTTAAAATGTACATTTTGTCACTAGCTAACAGATGTCCTTAAAATTAACAGACTGAAACTAACATTTACATTTTTTTTATTTCACAGGACCTTTAAGATTCTTGTTTTGATTTGTTTTGAAAGAGGATGAAATGACCTGATGCTAACCTCTGTGACCGACACTAATCCAGCCAGTTTAATAGCAGACATCAGTTTCTCAGCGGTTCTCACACCAGTGTCCTCAGAACCTGAGGAAAAAAAAAAAAAAGTTAACCAAAGTAAGTGCTGATCATCACTGAATGACCCAAGTAGAGGACTATGTCCTGCGTGTGGTCGGACACCTGTGACTGGCTCCTCTAGCACCAGTGTTCCCCCAGGCTTCATGACTCTGGCCATCTCAACCAACATCTCTGAACTGTGGATTAATGAGGAGTCGGTCAGCAGGCCTGATAGAACACAGTCATAGCTGGAGGCATTGTGTGAAGCTGAAAAACACAGATATGACGGATGTGAGTAAGGTATTACTGCATTAATACTTCTAATTTTAAATAACTTGAAAGACTTGAAAAGAAACAGGACTTGCATTTTCTGAATTTATTTAAAGATTTAATTAAAGACCAAACTATTTTTCTTTCTTAAAAGCCATGCACAGATGATTGTTCACCACAATACTAGCAATGTGAGCAAATAAAATCAATATTATGGTTAGTTTTGATTTCAGGTGTACTGTGAGTCAAATGTAAACATACACAGCAGTAGTCGCTCTGAGTTCTCCAAAGACACCAGACTCTGGTCTCCAACAACAGCAGCGATGCTTTCAGCAAACTGCTTCAGTGCAGAAGAAGATGAAGGCTGAGTCCATATGAGCAGCACCCGCTTTCCTTTCTGAAGCCCCAGATCAGCCATTACCTGCTGACAGACACACAATAACATGAGCAGATCCATCCATCCATCAAAACATTGAGGTAAAGTTGGTTTTACATTCTCACAAACTGACATTCTCCTTAATAAGATTTCAGAAAAGCATTTTTTGCAAATTATAAACAGTGAAATCATATTAACAGCAGCCAATGACTATCAAAGTACAACATTGTTCACAATAAATATCGCTAACATTGTTTCAAAAAGTCATACTTGTATGTGATTACAGGCCGAATATTCAAAGTACCATGATAAACAATATAGTGAGCATGTCACAAGTTGTCACTGAATGCTTTCAAAATTTTACAACTACTTCAGAATTATTTTTAAAGTTTGCCTTTCTCGCCTCAACATCAACATTTGTCTCTTTTTTTTAACATCATATCTCCCTATAATCTAATATACAGTAACTTTATAGTGCTTATTTAACAGACCAGCTCATAACCAGGAGCCATGCTTTGGGCAATTTTAAAACAGCTTAACAATAGCTTAATGTACCTAAACATCAACCAGAGAAACCCAAATTTCTGTCAAATTGTACTTGCAATTAACCCTGACTACTGTACAAAGAACAAGCCTCAATTCCACAGATAAAGTGAAAAACAGCACATTAAGCGTTTTCTCCCCCATTAAAGTCTATTATGAAGAAAAAGCTTAACGTGGCTTAATGTACCCTAACAACAAGCAGGGAAAAATCTAATTTCTATGAAATTTTACTCATGATTAGGCCCACACAAAATCTGCAAACGCAGAAATATGCAGATTTTTATCCCATCATTGAGTCTATTAATTTACTTGTGTAAATGTGTGTAAATTTAAATTTAGCAATATTATTGACTAATATGAAAATGTTAATTTGATTTATTAACAATTTGGTTTGTAAAGTTATATTTTCTGTCTTTTAGTAGATATTGAGAGACTTGCTTTGTTTAACAAATAAGTGGATCAAACTGGATAAATACTAAATAACAGTTAAAAAGGTTTTTTTAAATTTTTTTTATTTAATGTATTAAGTTTTTAGTAACGATACACCCAAAATCATTCCACATTAATCTGCAGATTATTTACAAAATTCTGCACAGAAATAGCAAAAAAATCTGCAAATTCTGTGTGGCCCTACTCATGAAAAACACTTTCTGGTGTCAAAAGAATAAGCTCTAGTTTTAGTGAGTAAAACTTTTCATGTTATGCGTTTTAAGTCCATTATAAGGAAACAGCTTAACTTGGCTAAACGTACCTTAACACTGACCAAGGAAGCCCTGTCTTCTTTCCTTGTGATTAACACTAACTATTGTCAAAAAACAGACCCTAATTCCATAGATAAAGTGAAAAATATCACGTTAAACGTTTTCTCCCCATTGAAGTCCACAATAAGGAAAGGCTTAACATAACTTACAATAACCGAGGGAAACCAAATGTTGAAAAGGCTGATTATAAAATCAAAGTTAGTGTTAATTAAAAGTCAACTTTGAAAGAAATTGAATTTTCCCCGCTTTTTGTTAAGGTGCCACGTTAAGCTTTGTCCTTTACCTATGGAACTGGGACTAGTTCTTTTTACAGTAATTGGGATTAATTACAAGTACAATTTGACAGAAATTTGAGTTTCTCTGGTTTATGTTTAGGTACATTAAGCCACTTTAAGCTTTTTTCCACGTTAAGCGTTTTAGAATGTCCCCACACTTTAATCATTTGTGTATCTAGGAGGACGTGAGGCACTTAAAACTGCTGCATCACAATGACAATGCAGTTACAGCACAGCGTAAACATTACACGGTTACACCATCGTGTCAGAAAAACAACATTTCTAGTGTAACGACGGAGCTTTCACACGCCACTAAACACCAGAATACTAATATATAAGACAGAATGTAGACGACCAAAAAAAGTTATTCGAACAAAAGAAAACAATTGTCTAACCTTTTTGATATTAACGTTACCTTGCTTTGAATGTTTTTCCAAACCCGGTCAGGAGACTCAGGACGGACTGTGTCGCAGGTGTAATGTCGCAGGCGGTTGTACATGCGAGCGTCGCAGTGAAATGATGACATAACAGAAAAAAGAGTAGAATGGCCAATGACGCAGTGTGTAACATAATACAGATTACATTTATTTACTGTTCGTTAATAATATAATAAGTATGTGTTATAATTTACATTTTGATTATTGTCGAGTTTTCCGCTGAAGAAACGGCGCTATTATGTGATAAATCTTCCATTACTCCGCGTTAATCTTAATGGGCCATCTCATCAGTGGTTGCATAACAAACGTTTTACGTAATTAAATCTAAACCGACTGATTGAGCATATTTATAATTAATACATTCTGCTAGAGATCGACAGAAGGCTTGTTTTTTGGGCCACCAAGCGCACCCTAGAGGACGAATATTGCTAGTTATTGCTAGCTAATGTTATTTCACAACATTTGCTAATGCTAGTCGCTGTTTTGGATATGGCGGCTCTGATTAGAGGACTGAGAGCTGGAAGGGCCTTGCGGGGTCTCAGCAGCGGTAAGCCGGGGAAAGAGAGAGGTCGTCAGACGTTAGCATTTCAGTCTGCCATCTGTGTTTTCAGGGTTACAATACTTAAAAGTGACAAGTGCGGTTGAATGTTGTAAATAGTTCTGCTTGCTTCCAAGTATAGCAAATGTAAGTCAGCTAGGCGACTAGAGAAGGTGACCATGAAGGGCAGGATTGCATGCAAATCAAAAGTGCATGTGACAATTCATAAAGTTGTGCGATTCAGATTTACGGCAAATGCATAATGATGGACATCAATTTTAAACTAGCTGCATGTGTAGAGTTGTAGTGCACAAGTTTATGAAAGTAAATCAGTTGCGAAACTCGAGAGCTTGCAAATGTAAATGTGAGCACTTGTGATAATAATATTTGTATGTGTAGGTTGAAATGTACACTTACAGCTCTGATGTGAACAGCTGAAATCCTCGATTTGCACACACACACAACAATCCACACACTTGTGTTTTAAATTCGAAGTTGCAGATTAATAGTTGTGTATTTGTAAAATGTCATTCACAAATACAAAGTGACAGACACACGTGTGCACGGCAAATTTGACTGCATCTTCGCTCTACAACCACAGGTCGGCACTCACAACCTCTCAGATTCGTCAGTACAACTACAAATCTCCCGCGCTCTGACTTTTGCTACACATCTCCCGCGATCTCTGTAGCAGAACTCATCTGTGCACTCGCAGATGCAGAGGCGTGAGCAGCGCTGGGCTGGGGAGGGGCGGGGCTGGTGTAAAGCTGTTTGATTGGCTGATGCCTGACCAATGAACAATGCCAGCAGCCAACAGGACTGAGGTGCAAAATAATCATTTCCCACGATTATTTCATTATTTAGGGTTTATTTAAACTCTTTTCTGAAGAGATTCTTGTTAAAAATAATAAATTCTGTGGAAATGTACATACCAGTAAAAGAGCAGCAAAGCCAGTTTATTGGCTAGAGCCAGCCAATGAGATGGGGCGTTTCTGTTTGTCAGGACACAGGGCAGCTCACGTTGTTGGAGGCCTCGAGCAATCAGAGGGTAAGTTATGATTTTTAATAATTATCTATATGTTCAATACTGTTAGCTAAGCTAAGGACTGTGCTGGGTGCTTCTCTTGTTTGTTTTTTTATATAAGAAACAGTTATGAGTTATCTAGGAGCTGCTTTCAATCATGTTATATGGTTCTAAAGATACGATTCAACCCACATGAAATAAGAAGTTGTAATAGTATTTATAGTAAATAATAGTACGTTTTTTAACAATACTAACTATAGTAAACTGTATTATACAGTATATATTGCAGTATCTACAACTTTGTTAATGAATGCAACAGCACACTGTAGTATTAACTAGCATGAACTTTAATAAATTGAAGTATACTTGTATGTATGTGAGTATATATATATATATATATATATATATATATATATATATATATATATATATAGCTTAAATTTGAAAAAATTGAAATATAGCTATCTGTTTAAAACTAAACATTCTAATGCCATTTATTATGCAAATATCAAGTTGAAACAAATCTGTTAAGAACACATATTTATATGTAAAACCTAATACATTTTAAAGCAGTTTCATTTCTTTCTAATTTTTACATCTACATGCATTACATCTGATTTAGGTCCACAACTTGCATCCTTCAACATGATATGTGTGTTCAAAGGAAGAGCAACTAGGTGAGGGAGACAGTGTCCATCGCTCGGCTGAGGGTCCACTTTGAGCATCTCATCTGCAGGGTTAAGCAACATAAGCTGAACAGTCATCATCTCTCTCTATTACAGCGAGCATCAACCAGCTTTACACAATGGCTTGCTTTCTGACCATTAGTTAAGGCTTGAGCAAAGTATTAAAGAGGAGATAACATTTGATGGGTAATGATGAAGTTGGATTTACCACCTCCATCTCATTATGAACAAGGAAAAACCCTGAAATATTTCAATACAAGTAACTAGACATTTGCACTGCACTTATTTGGACTGTAAATTTTATTTGACAAATTACATTCCCTTACAGAACAGGTGTCAAACTCAGTTCCTGGAGGGCTGCAGCTTTGCAAAGTTTAGTTCTAACCCTAATTAAACACACCTGATCAAACTAATTGAGTCCTTCAGGTTTGTTTGAAACTTTCACTTAAGTGTGTTGAAGCAGGGTTGCAACTAAAAACGTGCAGGGTTACGGCCCTTCAGGAACTGAGTTTGACACCCCTGCCTTACAGTAAAGTGTAAAAATACTACATTAAACAATTATCAAAATAAAAGTTGTGTTTGTGGGTGAGTGTGTGTTTTGTTCAAATCTGTAGTCATCTTGGCAAGAAAAAAGAGAAAATAAAGTTGGCTTCCTCTTGAATGATCTGAATCATTTTGAAGTGTTTGTAGATGAGCTGGATCATCATGTCATCTTTAGCATAAATGACATCCTATTCAAGCTATGCAGCTTCTCTGAGTTCCTCATCGACTTGAAACATGCTGATCTCTCCTGTCACTCCATCCTTACAGGAAACTGAGAAATAACCTATAGTTAGTAACGTTCATAATTAAAAAAAGTGATATAAAGGACACACTGTACACAAACATGTAAATAGATAGATGGATAGATAGATATGATGCAGGTTATAATAACAAAAACCGGTATGATCTGTAAGAAACTGAAACGCCTAGTGTTATTTTTAATTGCTATTAATGTGTGTGTGTGTGTGTTTGTGTAAATATACTTCAATTTATTAAAGTTCATTCTAGTTAATACTACAGTGTGCTGTTGCATTCATTTACAAAGTTGTAGATACTGCAATATATACTGTATAATACAGTTTACTATAGTTAGTATGGTTAAAAAACGTACTATTATTTACTATAAATACTATTACAACTTCTTATTTCATGTGGGTTGAATCGTATCTTTAGAACCATATAACATGATTGAAAGCAGCTCCTAGATAACTCATAACTGTTTCTTATATAAAAAAACAAACAAGAGAAGCACCCAGCACAGTCCTTAGCTTAGCTAACAGTATTGAACATATAGATAATTATTAAAAATCATAACTTACCCTCTGATTGCTCGAGGCCTCCAACAACGTGAGCTGCCCTGTGTCCTGACAAACAGAAACGCCCCATCTCATTGGCTGGCTCTAGCCAATAAACTGGCTTTGCTGCTCTTTTACTGGTATGTACATTTCCACAGAATTTATTATTTTTAACAAGAATCTCTTCAGAAAAGAGTTTAAATAAACCCTAAATAATGAAATAATCGTGGGAAATGATTATTTTGCACCTCAGTCCTGTTGGCTGCTGGCATTGTTCATTGGTCAGGCATCAGCCAATCAAACAGCTTTACACCAGCCCCGCCCCTCCCCTGCCCAGCGCTGCTCACGCCTCTGCATCTGCGAGTGCACAGATGAGTTCTGCTACAGAGATCGCGGGAGATGTGTAGCAAAAGTCAGAGCGCGGGAGATTTGTAGTTGTACTGACGAATCTGAGAGGTTGTGAGTGCCGACCTGTGGTTGTAGAGCGAAGATGCAGTCAAATTTGCCGTGCACACGTGTGTCTGTCACTTTGTATTTGTGAATGACATTTTACAAATACACAACTATTAATCTGCAACTTCGAATTTAAAACACAAGTGTGTGGATTGTTGTGTGTGTGTGCAAATCGAGGATTTCAGCTGTTCACATCAGAGCTGTAAGTGTACATTTCAACCTACACATACAAATATTATTATCACAAGTGCTCACATTTACATTTGCAAGCTCTCGAGTTTCGCAACTGATTTACTTTCATACAAGTTCCTCATGTCTGCGTTCTTTGCGAAGTCGTAAATGAATGCATGAAGTTCTAATGAACTCCTGTGTATTTGTTTCACTTTCACTATTATAAATGTATTTTCCATAGGGTCCCACCGGCCAACTTTAATGCATGCATTGCAACACTCAATGGGCTGTTTTGTTGCATGCTAATAATGTTAAGTGCACATTTAAATGGGTTTTGTGACTCAAAAAGTGCTTTTTGTTTTTGTGCAGGGTTTTATATATATATATATATATATATATATATATATATATATATATATATATATATATATATATATATAATTTATTTTGAGATGTATTTATGAAGAAAATTTGAAGATATTTATAATATAATAATAATATAACGTGCATTTCAAAAAGTTCAGTTCTTCAATCTTTGATATAATGGTAGTGTTTTATTTTCCTTCGGCTTAGTTCCTTTATTCATTAAGGGTCGCCACAACGCAATGAACAACCAACTTATCCAGCATATGTTTTACAAAGCGGATGCCCTTCCAGTTGCAACCCAGTACTGGGTAACACCCATATACTCTCATATGCACAAACTATGGCCAATTTATTTAATCTAATTTACCTATAGCCCATGTCTTTAGACTGGGGGGAAACCGGAGTACCCGGAGGAAACCCACACGAACATGGGGAGAACATGCAAACTCCACACAGATGCCAACTGGCTTAGCCGGGACCCAAACCAGCAACTCAGCCTTCCTGCTGTGAGGCAACAGAGCTAACCACTGAGCCACCATGTTGCCTTTGTGTGTGCTTATTATGTTCATCGCTCTATTACAGTTGCAGTTCAAGGCACAGTCAGTCCTCAGTGCAGCAATGTGAGACGTGGATTCCATCGAGCCGTCCTGTTAAGACTGTCCGACAACTCTAAAAGTGACACATCTGTACCACCTCCATCCTACCATGAGGTTCACACAACTGGAGATAGCTCATCATCTTCAGCACAAGGAGAAACTTCAGAAGATGCCCAGCCAAACACTAGGTTTGAGCCCCAGAAATTATGAAATAATAAATAAAATTGAAAGGGGAAATATTATAACTTGCTGTTATTTTACTTTACCTTGAGACATCTAAGATGTAGGTCATATTTTTTTCTTCAGTAAAACTTTAAAGAAGACTGTGGTACGAATGGCACTATTTAGTGTTTCCTAAGGATTTGAATTAAGGTTAATACTACTTATAATGCTTAAAGTGCATCTTCAGGAGCTATTAGTATTTATTAGATTTTGCTTGTATATATATTTTTGACTCTCAAAGTGCCACACCTGTTTCTGTATGCCATAGCAGCATTTTTTAAATCACCAAGAACCACAATTTCAGCTCAAATTCTTTAATGTTTAATGTAAAAATGGCACCTACTGTACATCTTAAATTCCCTAATGGTAAGTGAAATTAGCAGCAAATCTTTAAGGGTTTGTTTGTTTAAATCATCAACTCTGATGTTTGTTTTCATTGACTCTGATTTGGCGTCTCAGTTTTCAAGATCAAAGCGGTGAACACGGTGAAGATTATGAGACAGAAGAGCAGCTTCAAGCTCGCATCCTGACCACAGCTCTGGAGTTCGTTCCACAGCATGGCTGGACAGTGGAGGCCATCGCCGCTGGTGCCGAGGTTTGTTTCTTTTAGCATTTTGATTGTTCATTTTTATGGATTTTACCATTTTGGGGGTACAAATGTAAACTTTCAGACGTGATAAGTTTAAACGACAAGTATGTACTAATAACAGAAAAGTTATTCCTTTGTGTATTGAGAAAGTTTCATGCACAGACTACAAAATGCATTTTTTGTGAAAATGGTGACATACTAAGTAAACCAACACTGGTGGGTAGGGCATATGCAAAAGTATGCTAAATGACTTTAAATTTGCCAGTAACCTGGGTTAAGCGCTTCCAGTGAACTGTATGCCATTGCAAAATTGGCCCGTTTAAGGTCTGTTTTCTTTAAAAATCAGTGATCTCAACTGACTGAGTGATATCTAATATAAAGTGGGTCTCCGATTGTACAAGAAACACTGCTGCATTAAATAAAACTTTTCCTCGCCATGTCTTTAAAATATGGACATTTATTTTACCCCAGTATATTCAGTGGAGCTTCTGCGCTGGCCTGCCAATGCTGATGGGTGCGTGCGAGTAAACGGCTTTTTGTCTCGTTTTACGCTTGAGCAACTAAATGAATGCCAAAGTCTATTGAACTGATAGTATTGTAATTACATTACAACATCAATGCTATAAAAGGAACCGTATAAAATGAAAAAAGGTCACATTAACCGTTCATCGGATGTTTATCAGTATGAAAAGAAACAGACACCTCATATTTGTACACTTATTTGTATATGTGACATCGCCACCTGACCTGGCATGATTAATACAGCAGTTGTAGTAGTATTTATGGATTTGTGTGTGTGTGGATATTGTTTTTTAACAAGGTTGTCGACTGTGCACAAAATTTTTAAGACAAAGTATGTATTTAGTACATCAGTGTCATTTAAAGGCATCATGAAATCCAAATTTCATTAAATTTGTAAAATTTGTAGTACATATTTTGTATTTGACAACTCAGCTGTTTGCCAAACTGTTGGAGCATTTAAAAAATACTGAGCATTCAGCACTACATGTACAACGCAAGCTTAATTCTAAAAAGCATGACGCTCTTCAGACCTCCTAGCCTTTCACAATTTTTTTAAAAGATTTTTTTTTTGCGATTAAAAAATGACAGATTTTGTGATGGTAATTCCCAGAATTTTGCTGACAATTTTGAGATTAAAAATATATATAAATAAAATGGCAGATTTTTTTGTATTTATTTATTTATTTTTAGATTAATTAAAATTTACGTTTTGACGACAATTTAATTTTATATTAAATCGAGAAATCGCGATAAAAAAAAAATGTATACATTATAATGGCACCAACGCTTTGGTTCCCTCTGTATAAAGCAGGTCGAACACCAGAAGCACCACTCGGCAACGCGCAGCACCACGCAGCGCCATGGATTTTAGAATTCTAAACAGGTTTCTATACACACTCCGGTGCCCCCCAGCCACGATTCAGGATGCAGTTCATATTTCAGCCACGCCACAGAGCGCCATCTGATTAGTATCATGTTAAATCTCATGCGAATGTGCGCGTTTGGTGTGTGATAGTTTAAACTGTCATGTGCGCGCCTTGTCACGGTGCTTCTGGTGTGCGACCTGCTTGACTGTCTGTTAAAGCGTGAAGTCATGTTGGATTTTACTTGTTGATTGTCAAGACATATTCCCTCATCAATTCGATAAACTCGATCTCAACTTGTATGAAGGACGTAAAAACCTGCCATGTAAAAAAACCGTGCCGATCTTAGTTCGAACCGTGCTGATGTTTTGGTTTAAACACGAGCAGAGGTGAGGGCCTGCAGCAGTGAAAATGAAAGTACCCGTCCCCATGACGTCATTTAGCGGACCTAGTTGAAAACCAGACAGATCAGGCAGCATAATACAGAGAGTGGAGCAAAGCGCATCAAATGATCGGTATTTTAAAGGGGGAAAAGCAAAATAGATTAAATATGTTATTATATATTAGACACACATCTGGTGCTTTTATTTGCTCCTGCTATACGTCCACAACTTTAAACACATTGGGTTAAATTAGGCTTTACAGTTTCCATGTTCAGTCCTTTACTTCTACTGTACCTTTTTAAGAAAAAGACAGCAGCTTTACAACCTGTCATTCAATCAGAACACAAAGTCAAAGCCGAGCTGACAGCCAATCTTTCCTAGGCTCAGCAAAACATGCAAAAAATACATCTGTATTCCTGCAACTGCAATATTTACACAAATATTTTTATTCAAATCTTCTGCAACGCTATTTAACGTGTAAATTTGTTTTACATTTATTTACACCTTGTTGACCAATTTATGTATGGCATGGCCATTAAAAATACAATGTTCCTTAACCAGATGGTTTCCAACTTACTTATAAAGAGAATGTTATTTCAGTCATGTTTTTGTAATGTTTTAAGGTGACTAGTTGCACAATAAAAACAATTCGAAATCGTGAATCGTTCAAACTTTATAAAAAACCTAGATTTTTTTTTTCCATATCGCCCAGCCCTAATATATATATATACACAAATCAAAAAAATAAAGCTTCTTTATTTTAGTCTCTTGTCAAAACGGTAGGGATTAAGCCAAAGGAAGGTTGTATATCTCTTATTTTTGTCCACAATCTGACATCATGTACCTCACTCAGGATGTGCGCTAGGATTCCCCAAGCGTAATACACCTAAAACACGGATTGCTGTAAAACTCGTCAATGCCAGGCAAGCGGTTTCTCTCGTTAACTGCAGGAATGTATCGATTTGTCGCATATCATAATACCATCCAAACATGTAAAGCACATATAACACCTTTCAATTCAGTCACGTCCAGCAGGCGTCATCCTTAAACTAATCTCCATCATTGTAAGCTGCTTGCTTTTCTGTTCATTTCATTGATCCGTTTGTTAGATGTTTGCTCACACTTTTTTGCAGTCTGAAGTGTATCAAATGCCCAATTTACGCCAAAGAATGTCTAATCTTTGCAATTACTTTACATGTAAATCACTTGCGCTTCATCCGAATCTGCTTACTGCACAGACTGCAAAACAATTCCCCCCTCCTCCATGTATTGTAATGATTGTGAGAGCATAGGTTAGGCATAATTTTTTCGAGAGACACTCAAATACATAATATGTGCTGCTGACTCAGTGAGTCACGTAAAACAATGAATTGAAAACCAAAATAAATCTAATTTGATTGTATTTTGGTTTAAAATTGGATGTTTTATGAGATTATTTATATTTTTTGCAAATATTTTACATTTAAGAATTTTGCAGGATCGCAAAAAAATTTCGACTTTTTGTTGATTTTGCATTGAATTCAGCGATTACGGAATCATAAGGGGTCTGGCTCTTATTGAAAACATCTGAAAAAATACACTTGTCTTGTAAACAAAATGCTTTGATGGACACATTCCCTAAATGATTTGTTAGTGCCAATTTCTAATATTATTATCATTATTTTTACATTTTTGTTTCATATGCCCTCATTATTTCTAATAAAAAATAACATATCTTCTCGTATGATGTATATTATTTTGAAAGTGAGACAACATCAATCACATGAGATCCACCAATAGCAAATCTCAACAATCCAACAAAGCCCTGTTTATATTTCTTCTTCTTTAAGAAGTAATTTCATGCAGTCGTATGTCACAATAGGAAAGATTATCACACTTTCTGTTTCATGCTGATTTCAAAGCAAAACAAAACTTCAAGTATTCAAAGTAAATATTATTAATCATACTAGTTTGCTCTGTTCAGACACTTGGCCTGTCAGCAGCTTCCACTGGGATGTTTAACAATGGAGCTGGAGATCTGGTCCTACATTTTGTTGCACAGTGTAATACTCAGCTTGCTGAGACCCTCGCAGAGCAACATAACCAAGTCCAGCTTGGGCACGCAGAGTGAGTTTACAATTATTCGGTTTTTATAAATGCTACACTTTACTGTTAAAATTTCTGTTATTGTTCATATATATTGTTTATAATAATCTTATATATGATTTTTACCACCTTTAAAGAAAATTTGTTGGGTTTTAAGAATGCATTCCATATATGTTTTTATCTGGGTTTTATATGGATGTGAGTGAGACATGGATTCCGTTGTGTGACGTTCAGATAGGAATTATATATATATATATATATATATATATATAATTTAATGTATATCTTCATATGTTACTGTATAAAAAATTCTGTGAAGATTTTAACTCTTTCACATGTGACTTTTTTATTGTTACTGTTATGTAGAATGCTTTATATTTAAAGTTCTCATGATAATGCCTCAAGTTCATCATGTGTAACACCACAGCCCCAATGAGTTATTACAAAAATTATGCTTCATTTCTTTTTCCCCCTTTCTGCAAATTTTGACAAACTTCCTAATTATATTGTGAAATATTTGATATTCTGATCCTCAAATAGGTGTAAGAACATGTATTTTGTCTTTTAAATGGCTTAATAATAATCATATTTTTGATATAATATGGATAATGGACGCAGGACAGATCAGAACTGCTGAATTTACAACATGTTAAATCTAGAAAAAAAAATTCTAAAATAAAAGAAAGTATGTGGCTTTTTATAGGGAGAGGAATAGAGTACAATTTCTAGTCACATAAAAGTGTGTATCAACCATGAATAAAGCACATCGTTCAATTATATTTAAATAATAAATATTAAAAAAGTTAAAAAAAAAACTTTTTTGCCGTTTCCATAGACATCAGAGGTTTTACAAACCTTAAATGTTATGTTTCACTAGAACATGTGTATTTGAATGGATAAAACCTAACATAAATGTTATTTGTTTGAAAACATTGATAAATTGCTATTTATGAAAAGCACATCACTTCTGCTCTAAACGTTCTAATCACACTGGTGTGATCGTACAGGTTAAAGAGTTATTTGTGGTAACAAAATTGATGGGGATTTATAATAAAATTTTGTCAAATAAGATTTATTTGGTCATTGAATGGGCTTACAATAATCACAAGTTATTACTAGTGTTATAAATGTATACTAAATTATATATACTGTAAAAGTCATAATTTGTATTTATTTTTTAATTGTATTGTATTGTATTATAATGTATTGATCTATCGTTGTTGTTTTTGTTGTTGTTTTTTTATTATGTGTTAGACCAAAGAAAACAGCTGAGTTTCTGAAGGACGCTGTGGAGATGCGACTGCGCATGTTGACTCCTTACATTGACACGTGGCCTCAGGTATCATCTCATCCAGATGTTTGTCTCAAAAAACCTCACATTTAATCTAGAATAAGCTAAATGTGTCTCCTCTGTTTGCAGGCCATGAGTATCCTCCTACTTCCACACAACATCCCTGACAGCCTGAAGCACCTCACCACCTTAGTGGATGATATCTGGTATTACGCCGGGGATCGCTCCACAGATGTGAGTGTTTCTATACTCCCTCTTATTATCTTATTTAGCCTCAGTTTGTACAGTCATGCACCGATCTAGGTTTTTCATGGCCTATTTTATTTTTAATATATTTCATTTTAAAGGTATTTTTACAGTAAAATTAGCAGATTCTATTACCAATTTTTTTTTATTTGTTTATATGTGTATTTATATATTTAAATTGTTAAAGACTTTTTAAGACCTTTTTAAGACCATTAAGTATTAAATTTAAGACCTATATCGCAATATCAAAAACACGCATGCACATAAAGAGAAAATGCAAAATTAGCGGTAAAGTAAATGTATTCAAATGGAACAGTACCAAGACAGTTTAGATGCACCATTAAACTATAGAAAAAACAAACAAACATCTTAAGGCTGATATATACTTTCGCCTAGCGCCACATTGCGCACCTCATGAAACAAATGAGGCTTTTATACTTGACGCATTCACCATTGAGAGATTCTTTTAAATGACAGGGGGTGGTCAAAAGAAACAGACAGTAAAATCAGATTAATAAAAAGAGAAGTAGAAAGTTTCCGGAACTAAGTCATATCATTAATATCGTTCAAGATATTTTGGGGCCCCCTTTTTTTGTCCCTCAGATTTTCCTAACTTTTACAAAAATTTTCCTCCTTTCCCACAGCTGTTGCAATTTCTAGCAAAGAAATTTTGATCATCTGGTTCTCCCTATGATCACGCATAGACCGATCATAACACAAGACACAAAAATTGTGAGTCCGCATCATCTGACGGAGCGAAAGCAGATAATTCGCATGTGAGCAGCCAGTGTTTTGAGAGCTCACGAGCAGTTTGTCGCTCTGTCGTATTACATAAAAGCACTCTCGACTTGTAATACTTTGCTTACGACATTTGTCAGTGAAATAAGGCCATACTCTGCCAGTCGAAATCATGTTGCGCAACCAAAGTGAACCTCCGCAAACAGCGATGGCGTCACACTCTTCAGTTCAGCTGATTGCCTATTGCATGTTGGCCTCATTTGTAGTTGTAATACCGCAAATTACAATTGGACTAGTAAAATAAAGAACTACAATACCACGAAAACCAAGCAACAGCAACAAAAAAAGAATTTAAATGAGTATCAGATGTAGCGTTACATGGACATTGGATAAATAAGACCTGTGCAAAAATATCTAAGACTTAAACAGCAAATTTAAGACTTTTTAAGGTCTTAAATTTCTATTTATTTATTTATTTTATATATTTTTTAATTAGACTTTTTAAAGGGTCACGAAACACCAAAACACATTTTTGAGCTGTTGACAGTTGTATATGTGTCCCACACTGCTAAAAACACTATTAAGACACCTATATTTCACTAAAAAGTGTAAATTGGTTGTTTTTGCGTTATTTCAAGCAAATTCGTTCTTCCGGTTTGAAACAAATTTTTGAAGCTGCGTCACGGTCATGACATAATAGCGTTGTAATCCAGCGTGCAGACTGGACGTCTGTGCCAGAGTGCGTCTTATTGCGTCTTACGGTGTGTTGCATTAATGCATGAGTAAGGCTTGGTTCAAACCAATCAGCGCGCTCTATTGTGCAACTTCATTAATATTCATTACTGTCACAGTGTGTAGACGACAAAGACGCCACGTTGTGTTGGCAAAATAAGCGTGAAGTGTTGCTTTTATAGTTTGCTGCAGTTAAGTTTTGTTTTCATTTTCTCTCTGTGAGAGCTCAGACTCACGTGTGGATTAACAGTGTACGCGACGCATAACAACAATAACTTACGTATCTAAGGAGGATTATTGTTTACCTGAGTGCTGTTCTCATCTGCAAACGCTAAGATCCGGATTCGCTTGTAGTCTTCTCTTAATAAAGACGCGGTTCTAGTTGCTGGTGATTGTCCTGTCTCTACAGATTTGGTAAGTGAGCGACCAGTGCTCTTTGTTTATTCAGTTTGTTCGTATCGAACAAACTATTGCACCGAGTTTAAACATGTTAGCACTACAACCAAACTTTAACCTCGTGTAGGATTTCTACCACATTTTGTGACCGGAATAACACACGCGGCTTTCTGACGCTACCTGCCGTGTGCATCTAAGTTTCCGGGAAATGCTGAGTTTTTTTTTCTCTCATTCGTCGTGCGGTATCAAACATTGCACGAAAAATACACGCTTAGAGCAGTTCCTCGAATCAAATATTTCGTTTGTCGCGAGGGACATGAATGAATTCTCTGAATGAAAGACAGTTAAAGTCCACCATTTAATAATTTGGCAAATAATTCGACTACAGATGCCCATGTAAACACAGTCGCGTGCCCAAATAGACACTCCCACACCGTGCCTCTTTTATTCCTCCGACACTCCCCCCTAAACAGAGCTGGACACGCCCACTTTTCTGGATTTTTCCAAAGTAGAGGTGTGAAAACACCCTGCTGAAACGAGGGGGTTTCATGGCCCTTTAAGACTTCTTGAGACCCTGCGGAAACCATGTTAAAGTTGAGCAGGAAGTTGCTTAGATTTTACAGTATGTTGATGTGCTTCAAACAGAAATAGAATATTGAGTGGGCGGGGCTTTCTTTTTACGCATCATTTTTACATAGCAAACAAACGGTAAAAAGAGCGTCGTTAAAAATACCATGGCTAAAGTCATCAAACTGACCTTAACAGAGAAGGGTCACCACCCAAATGTGAAAGCAAATGCTCAGAGTGCATTTGAGTGGATCAACTTGCTCTGGTTAATTGTTAGCGCTAGCAAAATAAACATGGTCAATTTTGATTTCAAACATACTTTTTTTTTTTCAACAAATTATATTAGATAGTATCATTTAAAAATAAAAGATAAAACATAAAGACTTTTGCAAGTTTGACTTTGCCTTTATGCATTAAATTATGCTACATAACACATACCTGTAAGTGGAGATTATAGAACTAATGTTGTTTTGTGCTGTAAACAGCAGATATCTGGTATTTTATATGCATACCTTGATCATCAAAAAAGAAAATACTATCTGACAATGGGCAAATCCGATTAAGCAAAGCTGCATTGGTCATTTATATCTTGTCAGGGAAGTGTGGTTATATGATCTGCAATGAATCTCCTTAAAGCCAGCATTATCTACTGCGCCACCACGTCGACAAAAACATTACTCATTACTCGTTATTATATGTGGTATTTCATGTGCAGCATTTACTACACTGAGCTGTAGTTGTCAGCTTTGAGTTAATAAGAAAAATGCATCATCCACAGGTCATATACTTTGCTCATGCAGCTGTTTTTGTTGTTTTAGGTGAACTGGTACACGAGGCGTGCAGCGCTTACAGGCATCTATAACACCACAGAGCTGGTGATGGTGCAGGATTCATCTCCTGACTTTGAGGAAACGTGGGCCTTCCTTGATAATCGCATTAAGGATGTAGTTAACATTGCTAACACGGCTAAACAGGTTATTGTGGCATTTCTTTGTGGATTTTTTGTTTGTGATTTTTGTGATGAAAATGAAATAATTGTGTAATGATCTGTAGGTGCAAGCAACAGGAGAAGCTGTGGTTCAAGGACTCATGGGAGCTGCAATTACGGTAACCAAGCTCAAATTAAATCACAAAAAAATACGTTTTCCAAAGTCAGATAGATTTCTAATAGGCCTAATAGCTAGTCACATATTATGAATGGTTTGGATTTCAGTGATGACATGATAAAAGTGGTTCTTTTTCTTTTTATTTATACTATTTAGTGTAACGTTTTAGTAATTTTCATGTGTTTTTGTAATTTTTATCATTTTTTTAAACATCTAATTAAATTTAATAAAAAAGATTCAAACAAATAATGTAAAATTACATTGAATTAAATAAGACTTTAGAAATAAAATAAGTAATTATAGATAAAATTCTAATTAACAATAAATAAAAATCTATAATTAATATTTTAAAATAGAAGTAGAAAAATAGAAATGAATTACTAAAGTTTTTTGCATTATAAATAGAGTAAAATAGAAATAAAATGAAAAAGTAATAACAATAATTATTAATAATTATACAAATGTATAAAATACTAATAACTATACCTAATTATTTAAAATAAACCCCCAAAATATTTAGACACACATTCGTATAAAATAAATTGGATTAAAATAATCAAATAATTAATATACAATAATACAAAAATAACATTATTAAAGTAAATGAGAAAATATACTAGTATAATGAGCAGAATAAATGTAATATAACAAGGGTTATGGGTCCATGGCATCTAACCACTCAATCTAACAATGGCGTCTAACCACTCAAATTACTGTAATTTTTTTAGAAATTAATTCTAAATTAATTTCTGTATTTTTTTAATTACTGTAGTTTTTCTTAGAAATGGTAATTTACTATGTGGATTTAAAATGTGTACTTTATACTTTCACTTGAGTACACTTTCAGTGAAGTATTGTACTTTTACCCCACTACTTTCCTTCATCCAGCAGTCACTACTTAATTTTTTCCTGTCTATGGGGATTAGAAAAGTCAGTCATGTGATTTCTGTTCAATCGAATCGAACATAGAAATAAAATTGCTTCATACTGAATTACCATAAGACATGCAGCAAACTGTTTGGAAGCATTGAGTGTCCATGAAGATACTTTACACGCAATGGCCCAGAGACTATTTAGACTGAATGTCACTGATGAGAAGATGACGAATGTTTTTTTATAATAATAATAATAATAATAGTTTTTATTTATATAGTGCCTTTCCAGAGCTCAAGGACACTTTACAAGAAATGCGACAAAAAGATAAACAAACATACATGAAGTCAAATATAACAAACTGGAATTACACAAACAAGATCTAAGAGACATATGAGCAGAGTGGAGGTGGATCAGATAAAGTAGTCAGTTTGGCAGATCAGAAGCGAAGCATTCAGAAAATAAGAGTCTTAAGTAAGGATTTGAATTCAGAGATACTTTATGATGACTAAAATGGTCTTAAACAATTCAATTCATCTTTATTTTCATAGCGCTTTTACAATGTAGATTGTGTCAAAGCAGCTTAACATAGAATATTAAAGTAAATTGAAACTTCAGTTTTCAGAGTTTAAGTTCAGTTTAGTTCAGTGTGGGTTAATTTTCACTGCTCAGAGTTCAAACACTGAAGAGCAAAACCATCGATGCACAGCTCCACAAGTCCCGGACCATGCAAGCTAGTGGCAAGAAACAAACTTCACCAATTTGCGAAAGTTAACAATCACTAAATACACCACAGAATGTTACGTTTATACACTCACACACACACACACACACACACACACACATACACACACACATATATTACATGTAAACGCATCAACCTTTCCCAGCGTAATACTCACTGGTCATGAGTACTTTTAAAAGTGCTACTTTTTACTCTTTTGATTAATATTTACAACAGATACTTTTACTTTACTTGCACTACATTTTAGGGCAAGTTATGGTACTTTTACTTTGTATGATTTTTCAGTACTTTTCCCACCACTGCATCTAACTGACCTTTAAATCCTGTTTAAACATTTGATTTATTTTGCAACTTAAATTAAATTAGCATTTGTCTCTCATCTTTTCCAGCTGAAGAACCTAACCGGGATGAACCAGAGACGATGAGTTTTCGTCTTTCACTATCTGACCTTTCGGCCATGCAGCACAAATGTCCGATACTTCCCTAGCCTGCTCTAAACCAACTACACAACATGAAACGATCACAGTGAAAGTGTGTATGTCACGATACTCCCCCAGCACTTTTTAAATGGGTCAGCTGTGCCATACCAAATTCCTCTGTCTGAATCTTGACCCGAGTCCAACCAGGAGCCAGTTTTCCTTCTGCCATTGCAGTCTCCTTCTTGTTTTCTGCATTTGTAAAAAGAAACAAAAAAAGAAATGTAAATTGTATTTGAGAGTTCTATGTTCATACAGTTTGTGTCTGACTCTTTGCTGAGTCCTTCAAAAAAGAAATAAAGGCTTACCTATTTGCTGAACGCTGAGTTTGTTTGTTTGTTTGTTAATCTCTCCATGGTAATAATCCAAGTCTGTGATGGAAGAATTAAACACGATATCAAGGAGCTTTTCCCTGATATTGTGTTTAATTCTTCCATCACAGACTTGGATTATCTTCTTTTTATATGCCATTGAAACAATTGCTAAATATTTATCTGCTTTATATATTAATCTGCTTTAAGTGGTGCAATATTTGCAACTAAAACATGCCAGTAAAGTGTTCTTATTAATAATACATCAAGGGTTTTAATGTTTCTTATTACATATAGCAGGGATAACAAAAACTGTTCAGTTTAACATGGTGGGTCAAACTTTACAAACACTTGTTGGTTATATGGCCACAAATGCAAGTCTATTACATGTTTGTTTGTTTTTTACAGCAGACTCCTTGCAACAAAAAGCATATAAATATTTGTGTAAATAAATATCTCAATTCCGTCTTTAATAAGATATTTTAATGCTTAGGTTTAAGACGAAAGCTTAATTTTAATTGTGGTCTAATGAAACTAGGCAATGGAAATGTGTCACATTGCTGTTTGAAGTACACACACAACATGTTTTAAATAAATGGTTTAGCATAATTTTTAAAAAATACTAATATTTTACTAATAGTATTGGTTATTCTTTTGCACATTTGTGTATAAAATATAATGTATTAGGCTTCATGTTTCCTTAAAATGGGCTATATGCACAGCTCGTATTTTTTAGCCAATGGTAAACTTCCGTTGAAAGGTTTCTGTTACAATTTGAACTTTTATAAGCATCAACATCATAATATTGCAATCAGTTAAATGCACTTAAGCATTAATTTAGTTGTTCAAGCATTAAACGAGATGATAGACTGTAACTGCTAGCACCGTCAGTACCAGCAGGTTAGTGCAGAAACTCCATTCAAAATACTGAGTTAAAATAAATGTTTATATTTCAAAGAAATGGCAGGCAAAATTTGAGTTGATTGCAGTGCTTCTTATCCAGTCTGAGACCCACTTTATATCTAATAGGCAGTGAAGATCACTTGTTTTTAAAGAAAACAGATAATCGTGCCAATTTTGTATAGAAAGACAGTTCACTGAAAATCCTCGAAAATGGCTGGCTAAAAATTAAAAGTCCATGTGCACACCCCATTACAAACCAATGCTCTGAAATTATTAGTTTGTGATCATTTCCACAGAAAACAGCACAAAGAAATACCCATAGTAATACAGTTGTAAACCACAAAAATCGGAATTATGAAATCTGAATTTAGATGTTGCAGATTTACCTGATTTACATCTTCCACAGTAACTGATCATACTGATATAATGTCATATACAGGCGTGTCTAAAATGTAAAAAATACTACATTAAGTTAATATCATGTATGTTAGGTTTGTGATTTTAACTATGTATTTATTTCAAGACCTCAAAAGGACAGAGGAAAAGTTTTTATTTTAGATTTATTAAAAAAGGACAATAACATGTAATCTTACTTTGAGTGTTCTGCAGTTTACGGAAGAAAAATTTCGCCCAGAGTATATGATTGGGTCATAAAATCTATTTCTAAAACTATTACATCTGACCAGAACCTGTGCTTATACAGACTTAAAATGTGAAATGCCAAAATTATCTATTGAAGGGGTGGAGATTTTGTTAAGTCTAGCTTGTACCCTAAAGCTTTTTATAAATGGAAATTAAATCACCCGGTTCTGTCCACCATTACAATTTGGCCTGGTATCAATAAGTTTTTAGTGCCTATAATAAGATGAAAGAACTTTATTTTTAAATTCTTCATAATTACTATCCTTTCAAGTCTTTACTGTCTGAATTTAATATATACAATTCTTTGCAATGCACTTTCTGTAATTCTAACCTGGAAACAATATAGCATTTAGTTTTAGAATGCAATTTTGTGGGAAAATTTTAGACAGATATATCTTGGCTTTTCTTCTTAGCTTACAATTTTTTTTTCGATTTTAAGACAATTAATTTATTGTTTTTGATTTGGGAGTCAGATTGTATTTAAATGGACAATATGGTAAATTTTTTTTAACTCTTTGTGGCCTTTTCCATGTTCACAAATGTAGAGTTATTCAGTGTTTGCCAAATTTTAAAAACATTTTGAATCTACTTTATTATGAATTTCTGCCTATCGCAAAATAAGAAAGCTGCTAAAACAACTGCACTGCTGAAAAAAAATAATATAATTTTAGTAATTACCTTTAAGTTATCAGATCTCTTTTGGTATGCCAATGTAACATTCCTAATAATCTAAGTATAGTTTGAGATATTTATGTTTTATTTCTTTTGATATATATTTCTATATTTTTATTTTCTTTAAATATTTGCTTTTCTTTCATGTATTGTTTTTCCCATATCTAGATCTACATTGCAGTAGATGAACAATGAATATTTATAATTTGTATTCAGGTCACACAATGTTAGCACAAATTAATGTTTTATGTATTGCCTGTTACTTATGTCATTTAAAAATGACCGTTAAAAAAACTATTTTACCTGAACGCTGAAGACTTTTATTTTGTGTAACCGGCAATACTCCTGCAGTACTCCGGATGTTAACGGACTGGAGGCAGCCAGTGCCCAATGAGCTGCTTTCGTTTGTTATTGTGCTGAAGCCGCGCTCGACGCTGGACGTAATTGAGCAACTCACCGCACGTATAGTTGATTTGTTATTATATATATATTTTGTCTTAATCCGGCTTGATTTCGGTATGCCGTACGCCAACCAGCCCACGGTAAAAATCACGGAACTCTCGGACGAGAATGTGAAGTTCGTGATCGAGAACACGGATCTCGCGTGAGTAATGAGATTGATGGAGTCTAATCGATGATTTTGACCACAAGTCTCATGTTTAGAGCATTGTAGTATGTTTATTGTGCTCTCTCTAAAATGTAATATGTAAATACTAAATATAACTTACGTCTGGTAAAAACATGCTGCATACACCACGGTACTTTTTTTAGTTTTTTTTTTGTTTTATTCAGGAAATACTGTACACTTTACTGTTACAGATTACAGTTTAGTACTGTTTATTGTTGTTCTAACTTGACCGAATGCACATTAAATGCATTTTAAAAGCACATGAACAAAAATAATAATGTTTAAATAAGTCTAAATTAAACAAATAAGAATGGGGAAAACCATTATTAAATGTAAATATACCTTAAAATCATATAATGTATGTAATATATATAAAGATCTATCTATCTATCTATCTATCTATCTATCTATCTATCTATCTATCTATCTATCTATCTATCTAACTCAAATGAGCATATCCATTGGACAGTTTTTTTTACATTTAATTGCTTATTTTTGTCATAATCTAGCCAGATAAGCATACAGTACTCAGCATATATGAGTACACCCCTACAAATCTCTCATTTCAATGAATATTTTCTATAGGAAGCTTTACAATATTATATTTGTGCATATACATTAGATTAGTCAGTACTGAAGTTAAATCTGGAGCTTATTTAACTAAATAACTTACAATGATGATTCAAAAATTTGTAGCCCAGATTTATGTTAGGGAAAAATAAATAAAACTTTCAAAAATAGCAAATATCAAGAGAAGCAAAAATATACACAATTTAGTTGAAATGTTGTAGTCTGTAATTCTTTTTGCAATATTTTGCATGAATTTAATTGCAATATCTTTCCATTTCTAAAGATATTCTGTGACTAAAATAGTATTTTAATATATCTGTTTAATAAATCTGTTATATTCAAATGCGCTTATATACACTACCCATATTCACTGAGAAATTGATAAAAATATGAATTTTCAAAGTGGGGTGCACTCCATTATGCTGAGCACTGTACATGTATTTGAATTAAAAATCACATATATTGGAATATTGAGCATTTTAATAGTTTAAATTTGTTGTTGTGTTTACATGAGGGAATAAAACGCTTCTGTATTAATTTAGTTTTTAGTAGTTTTATCTGTCCATCTGTCTATCTGTAATGACCACATTTATATATTTGTAAACATATTTCATTTTATGATAAATATGAGTTTATTTGTTATGTTTATTATCTGTAATGTTACATTAATTTGTAATGTTTTACGTTTGGTAAATCTATTTTATTTTTTATGTAAATTACAGCACCCTAAAAAAAATGTTTAAAGTTTAAGTTTGATGATAAACATTTTAATGAGAATAAGAAAAGCACCTGTATTTTATTTTGTTTATTTTTCAGGGTTGCAAACTCTATTCGACGTGTGTTCATGTCAGAAGTTCCAACCATTGGTAAGAATCAAAATCTAATCAATATGAAAAAAAAAACACGTTAATTTAATAATACGTTTACTTGATTTAAAGGGCACCTATTTGACCCCTTTTTCAAGATTTAAGAGCAGTCTTTTGTGTCTTCATAATGTGTCTGAAAAGTTTCAGCTCAAAACACCCATCAGACTATTTATTTTACCATTTAGAAGTTTGTAATTTTCAGCTCTGAGCATCTTGTAGCTGTTTTTGTTGCCTGTGTCTTAAATGATCGTTCTCCCCGCCCACCGTTTCCATGTGCCACAGTCAGTGTGCCACAGTCTCGATAGAGCTGCTTGATTATGGGAAAAATCATAATCACGATTATTCAAACGATTATCAGTTGAAGTCAGAATTATTAGCGCTCCTGTGTAATGTTTTTTTATTTTATATAAAAATTTCCCAAATGATGTTTAATAGATTCAGGAATTTTTCACAGTATGTCCTATAACATTCTTTCTTCTGGAGAAAGTGTTAATTGTTTTATTTTGGCTAAAATAAAAGTAGGTTTAAATATTTTAAAACCTATTTTAAGGTCACTATTATTAGCCCCCTTAAGCAATATACTGTTTGATTGTCTGCAAAAGAAACTACTGTGATACAATGACTTGCCTAATTACCCTAATTGAAGCTGCGGCCACACTGGACTTTTCCTCACATAGACTTCCATTCATACCCACGTGAATGCCGGAAACGCAGGGTCATGCGTCAAG